TTACAGAGACTGAGTTACATTTTGCTGAGAATATTCCCTTCCAAAATTGCTGCTGATACACCAGTTAACTAAATTAGAAGCTATTAAACAAAATAAATATTAATAAATATATTTGTTTATTATTGTAAATAGTATTATAACAATACACATATATATGGTTATGAGTAATATTATCAATATTATTATACATTAGGGTGACAGCAGATATATATATATATATATATATATATATATTCAACAGATGTACAGTGGGTACGGAAAGTATTCAGACCCCCTTAAATTTTTCACTCTTTGTTATATTGCAGCCATTTGCTAAAATCGTTGAAGTTCATTTTTTTTCTCATTAATGTACACACAGCACCCCATATTGACAGAAAACAGCTAATTAAACTAGAATACACACTAAATTCTATAGTAAAGTCCCAAAAACAGCAATGAACGACAAAAACAGACATAAAATGTCTCACAGAGTCTCAAATAATCAGTGAATCATTCTAATCATTCTAAAATCACACATATCGTTTCATTCAGGTGGTTCAGGTAAATCAAATGGTTCACAAAAGGTGGCCATTAACCGTCCAAACAAAGTTATTTATTAAAATGAATGCTACATATGAAGAGTGAAGTTTTTAGAAGAGAATCTATGCAATTAATCTGTTAGTAATGTCACCACTTTTACCCAGCTACACTCCTCTCCATGCTGGTAATTAGGATCTGACCTCAGTGGTCTAGAAGACACACTCTTACACAGAGACAGAAGATGAAGATTTGTTAATAGACATTCTCTGAATGGCTTCTGATGGCTGAATGATGTGGAATGTGGCAGAGGCATTAACAGGACACTTCGAAATGTTCTCTGTGGAACGTGAATGATATGAATGTCCCACATCACATACATGTGACCTCCAACACTGCCTTCCCCACTCAGTGATAATCAGTTTAGTCAATGTGCACTGAAGATGAGAAATAAGACACCAGCAGCACTTTCACAGGCTCTGGCTGGAATATTACGAGGAAGCAAACATTAGTAGGGCCAGCCTAGATCTGTGTCTCAGAGCTAGTAAGCAAACACAGCAGACAGCTCCGGGGCAGGCGGCAGTCCCTCCTCGAAGCCAGGTGTTTGGGTCTAGGGGCGTTTAGGGCAGTGAGACAACTCATATTTATCATGTTTACACACACACACTTTTCAGCATGTACGTGTTAGATGTGGCCCTTGTTTGTTTCGGTGAAAACAACAATAGTAGCAGCAGTAGAGAGAGTGTGTCGTGTCTGGCCCTGAATACTGCATGACATCTGGTGAATAATTTAAATCACCAGAAATGAGGTTTAAAAGTTTAATCCTGGGACTTGCTCCCAATGTTCAGAATTTTATGCAGCGATCTGGACAGTGAGAGATTCCAGAGAAGATGGAGAATACTGAAAAGACTACTGGCTTTTATTTTGCCAAAAGCAGTTCTTCAAATACAAGAAGTTTAAACCCAACTATGTTTTTCAGTAGCGTGACAGTTACTGCTGTCAAACAATGTGGCTTGTTTTGCCAACAAAGGTCTGTCTAAAGCAATCAAAAGTTACAAATATGCTTTTAATGTCATATGCTTTGCTAAAGTTATAAATCAAATGCTCTCTCCTAAATGGTCTTTTTTTCAAATGTAGTGTCAGAAGGTCTGATTCGATCTAGTAATTCAGTTCATTCTAAATGGACCCGTCTATTGAATTAGTTTGTCTAAATGGTCCTGTTTATCATATCACAGTAATGTCTGACTCATTTTAATGAATCTGTTTGCTTAAAAAGGCCCTCTCTCTAGAAATCTGATTCATTCTAGTGAACCGGTTTACCCAAAAATTCTATACAATGTGGTGCCGTAAAGTCTGATTCATTCGATTGAATCAGTTCACCCCAAAAATGGACCCTTCAAATGCAGCATTGAAAACTCAAATCTAGTGAACTAAATCACTCTAAACTTTATTCTCCCTCAGGTATGTAGTGTGAGAAGGTCTGATTCATTACAGTAAATCAGTTTGGACTCACTGAACCTTTCTCTAATATTTAGCACCAGAAAATCAGCAAATCAGTTGCTCTCTGGTTAATGAAAATGTATACACTGTATGTATGTATGTATGTATGTATGTATGTATGTATGCATGCATGTGTGTATATTTATATATATATACACACATGCATGCATGTGTGTATATATATATATACACACATGCATGCATGTGTGTGTATATATATATATATATATATATACAGGGGGGCAAATAAGT